CCCCAAAACCCCAAAACCCCAAAACCCCAAAACCCCAAAACCCCTGGAAGTAGTCTGAATATAGAAATTAAAATTATTCAAGAAAATATGAATAGCTCAGTAAGTATACACAAGTAATAACTATATTTCAACACATTTAGAATTTTTAGAAATAAAGTAATAGTCTTTAAGGAAAGTTTTATCATGAAGACTAGTTGATTAGGAATTTATGTTAACTTTCTACCTCACCAAACATAAATAGGCCATTGATGAAAAATATAGCTTCGAAATCTAAACTACGAACAATCCGTACACAACCAGGAGCTAACAAGGCAGAATTCCACAGTTCTTGAATTCCCAGTGAAAAAGGATGAATTACGAAAATTCAAGCTCTTCAAGTCAAATAGTCTCTCTCAGTTCTATAAACTCTCAAATGATGATCAAAGTAAGAAATGAAAATAAGAACAAGAAGTTGTTTAAGCTTCTTGGGAATAGTTCCATTGGCTCAAAGACCAAAGTGAGAGCTCCTAGTGAGTCTTGACTTGACATTGATGCATTTTCATACTCTCTGAAAAACCTCATTGACAATCATAATAATTCAGCCCATGAACAATTTGATGAGAGATCAAGACTAAATCAGGCGGCACGGAAAGCAGATCTTGATAGCCGAATGTCTTTCAAAAATTACCAAGATTACATAGAAGAAGAGAAAATGAGGGTCAATAATTCGATTTATTTCAAATAAGCGCCCTAGGAGTCTCTTTAAAGGGAGAATTCCGAAACCTTCCTCTAAGAGGTACTTCTCTCTAAGGCAAAGCAAATAAGATCGATGACAAAAAGATCATTATAGTCATGTCTAAGAGTAAACAGACCCGGGAGCTCCAGACCCAGACTAAAGAAGAACTATATAATTTCAAATCAAATAATGAAGGCGCATATCATTCTAAGTAAGAGTGCTGATTTAGAAAATAAGAATATACCTCTGAAGAGGAAATAAGCTCAAAACTAGTCAAAGCTACTCTTCCTTCTGGGTCAACCCAGTACAAAGTACTGGAGAGCTCAAGATAGAGAGATGAGTCAAAGTCAAGCCTCCTTCTAAGCAAAGTTTGGAGTATACTGCTAAGAAGAGGAAGAATTATATAAGCCAATCTAACATGCAGTTTATATCACCAGCTGTTCTTCACCAAAAAGAGCCTTCGAAAGGGAGAAAGCCTTTATCTTCTAGTCTGTTTAATTACTTGAAAGCGATGAAGAATCGGAGGAATATACGGTTTGTGAAGGTAAATCCTAAAATTAGCACCAAATTGAAGAAGAATGCCTGAACCCAGAACCACCCATATAAAGGACCACTCAAGTTAGAGTCAGACGTCAAGGAGAATTGGCAGAGACTCAAGAATTTCAAACTTGAAATAGATACAAGGGCTAAAAAACTCTCTCAATCTCAGAAAGAGAACAGAAATATTCCTGAGAAATCTATTGACAATACAAACTTGCTGATAGATACAATTGACGACGGACAGCAATCTGGAGAGTGGGACCAAGTTTTTGGCACAAATGCTAACTCCGAGACCTTCGTCACAAATTTGAGATAGAAAATTATAAATAGCACAATTCTTAAGAATTCAACATCATTCTTTGAAATTGGGGTTTTGGGGTTTTGGGGTTTTGGGGTTTTGGGGTTTTGGGG